ACTCTCCTGTCATTGCATAGCTCCACTTTTGTCCCACTCATTGAGCACTTAGTGCCTTGCATTGGTGACCTGGCATCACTCACATGTACCTGTTTCGTCTTCATAAGTAGATTATGAAGCATTTTGTGGTGGAGACCATGTGCTCATTTGATAGTTCATCATATACTCATTGAGAATAATAAGGTATCAATATTGGTTCATAATTATAATAAAAGTGCCACACTAATGTAAGTAGGTGTTAATAATAGGAGAAACTGTGTGTGTGTTGGGGGTGGGGGGATGTGAACTGTCTGTACTTTCTACACAATTTTTCTATAAAACAAAAACTGCTATAAAAATAGTCTGTTTCTTCAAACAAACAAACAAGCATTCATTGAGCACCTCCAAGCATGGGGCTAGATTCTAGACAAAGTTGACAAGACATGGTCTCTGACTTTAAAGACTTCCCAGTAAGTAAACGGTTATGAAATGGCATGACAAGTGTAATGTTTGAGACATGTATAGGTTACACAGAGAAGTATCCTGCCCAGCTGAGAGGGAGCAGTCCTTGAGCTGAGCCTTGAAAGAGAAAGGAGGAAGAGGAGTTTCCCAGATAGACAAGGGGTGGGAGACAGGAAGACCATTCCAGGCTGAACTGAAACCTTCCGATATGCCTGGGAGCAATGGCACATGTGGGAAGGGGCTGGAAATGGACCAGGTCGAAGCATGAGGGGCCTTGGAGCTTATAATAAGAGCAGGGGCTTTATCTACAGGCAATGGGATGCCACTGGAGAATTTAAATTAGCCAGTGTGGATAGGAATAGATGAGAATTGGAACCCAGTTGAGAGATGTTTTAATAATGCAGAGTTGGTGATGCTCGAACAAGGGTGGTGGGTGGGGATGGAGTGGAAGAAACTGAATGGAGAATTTACTTGGGAAAGAAAACCCAGAGAACTTGTTGATTAATGGGTTGTGTGAGGGTGAGCAAAAATTAGTACCACCACTGTGAAGGCAGATTTGTCACTATCTATTAATAACACTAGAAAAGGGAATAGTCTGGGGCCCAGAAATTTCATTTATGGCTATCTACCCTAAAGAAGAATATTTACTCAGTATTGCTTGTTAAAAAGAAAAAGTCAGAGCAACATGTCCATTAATAAGGAACAGGATAAAGAAAATGACATTAAAAAGAACAAGAAGCACCTCCATGTAACAAAATGGTGTCTCCAACACATTGATGATGGAATGAAAAAAAATGATTTTAAAAAAGCCTGTTATAGAATGATGCATGTGATAAGTGCCCATGCTCTAGAAAAAAGTTCATTCTGGCATTTGGGAGACCCCCTCTGCAAACAGTTGTCTTCCCATCTTTTCATCCTGCCTTAGGTTGAATGTTCCTCCAAAACTTAGCCCCCACTGTAACTGTTGAGGACGGGCAATCCTATTATGTAATTGAAAGGTGGGGCCTTGAAGAGGTGATTGGATTGTAGGACCAGGCCATAGTGAATGGATTGATAATGGTGGTCAGGGGTGTGGTTCTGGGGGATTTAGAAGAAGAGCACATGAGAAGTCCTTTCTTTCTGCTCCACCACTTTCTGCTATATAAGACCCCTGCATTGCTGTAAAGCCACCACTAAGAAGACCCTCACCAGATGTGTTCCCTGGACTTTGGACTTCCCAGCCTCTGAAACTGTAAGCAATAAATTTTGTTTTCTTATAAATTACACAGTTCCAAGTGTTTTGTTATAAGCAACAGAAATGTACTAATACACACCCTAACCTATTAGAGGTCAAATCTCACTCACCCACACAGTGTTTCTACTTAGTCTTCTTATTTCCTTAAAAAAATTTTAATATTGATTTGATACAAAATAACATTTATAGAATACATGCAGAACATTCAGAGTTGTGATACAATCAATACTGCTGTGCTCACCACTAACTCTTAAGAACAGAAAAACATTGTCATTATTTTCAGTGTCCTGTGTGTCCCTCTAAATCTATCTTATCCTTCCCTTCTCAGAGGTAACCACTTTCCTGAGTTTTGTTTATAGTTCTGCATGTTTTCATGTTATTTAGTCTTGTGCTTTTGAACTTTATGTAAGGAACCATAAGTACAAAAGAAAGACAAAAATGTATCTACAAGATCATTTTTAACTATTTACAGATAATATGATTATGTAAAATCATTTAAGAACAGTATGGTAATCCAACAAGAAGATTATTATGAAGATCAATATGAAGATTATAGTTTCTTATATCAACAATAATTGTAAAATAAAATAGAAGATCCATTCATAGTAGCAGCAAAAGATAATTTACCAACCAATAAACCACAATGCAAATATGTAGGATCTATATGAAAGAAAATTTGAGACATTCCCTGTACTTGGTTGGCTGTCATGAATAGTAATATAATCATTATATTCTAAATAAATGATTATTTTATGAGAGAAAATATTTGATGGCAAATGCACACACATTAATGGGCTCTCTTTCTCATCAGTACTTACTGAAATGTAGATGCCCCTGATGGTGTTTCACATGTAGGACTCATTACCTGTGTAAGAATTACCCAGAAGTGTTTATTGAAGTGCTTACTGCAAAACACCACCCCAAGAGACTCCAAATCTGTACCTCTGGGTAGAACCTAGGCATCTGCATTTTTTTTTTTTTTTTTTTTTTAAAGGATGACCAG